GATTTCTAATAAATGTAATGCTTCCGTGGGAGCGAAATGTACACTTGCTCCGTCCAGCATGAGAGCTGCTTTTAAATGTATAGAGCCGAGGCTCCAAACAATCAAAGTAAACCTCACCTTCAAATAGCATCAAGAAATGTGATTTCAATGCTTGAAATCTTTATGATAGCCTTATCTTTTTATCTTTAATTATAAAATTTAAAGCTTTAAAATAGTGTACATCGAGCATATCCGAGAAAACTTGAAAATTTTGAAAATTGACTGTCCAAAAATTCATTATAATATGCACTATTTCCAAAATTTGGAATTTATTTTTTTCTCATGTCCATGCATCTTGACGTCGAGATGATCAATTTGAGGATATTTGGCCATCAAAACAAGTTCTTCTAGTTAAATTTTTGAAATGGGTTCTAATTTGATTGTTTAGAGCCTTTGTTCTATAAGCTTTTCCATAACCCAAAGACCAACCTATGTTTGAGGGAAAAAGTTTATATTAGGTATCAACCCTATACTGTACATGTAAGGTCCATCTCAAAACTCAGTGTAAAAAGGTCGTTTTGTCATTAGAAAATTCTCCAATTAATCATCTCCACTTTGATATGTATGAATATGAAAGCAAAATTGAATTTTTAGTATTAATAATAGTACATCATGTAACACATTATCTAGACCGTCCATTATCAATATATTTAAGTGTTCATAGATTACTATTTTTTGAGCTTACAATTTTATAATAGGGGTGAAAACTATATTTTACGGCTATCATAAGAGGTTTGGCACCTAAAATACATCATATACTATGATTGTTTAAGGTTGACACCTTGTACAAACCCCACCATGCTTGAGTAACCTCGACATAAGACTCAAATCACATTCCAAATGTACGTATAGGGTGAAGTTTGTATAAGGTGCCTACCTTACGAGTAAGACACATCTCTAAAGAATGCCAAAAAGATGAAGTTTTGGTGTCAAAAAACCCTTACTATGTCTTGAAAATTTATGTTCAACTCAAATTATGAAATCAAAATTATAAAAAGCGGTGCAAATCGAACAGATATGTAAATACTTGAAAGTCTAGAAAATAGACAGTCCAGATAACTTAGGGCATGATGCATTACTTTTAGGACGTAAAATTTTTTTTTTCTTTGTAACCACACAACAAGAGGTCAAGACAATCAATTAGAAAGTTTCCCAACTATAAAACATTATTTTTTATTAATTTTTTGAGATGCACCTTATTTCTATAATATAAAGTTGCCAAATAAACTTTTTGCTTGGGTTAAAGAGGTTCCTCAAATATAGGTTTTACTCGTGGTAGTAAATAAATAATGTACTCCAACGCAGCATAACATCTTTTGTCGCATAATTAAGAGGGGACCGCAAGATGATGTCCATAAGTAAGAAGAGGGGGATAGAGACGAAAAAACGAACCACACACATATTTGTTGAAGAAAAGTATACAATGGGACTGTTAATCTTGGGCATATATTTGTTTTAAGAAAAGTATACAATCGGACTATTAATCTTAGGTGCATGGTCATAATTAATCGTGACCATTGGATATGAAATTGGGGGACTGCATTCATTTCATTGGCCAAACTTAGAGCTCAAAAGAAATTTTTTTTAACTTTGTGATACATCTAAACTCTTATATTTTATATCAGATAGTTATAAATAATTGTGACCTCCTTGTACAATCTGAGTTGGGAATCATTGAGATCGAAAAATAATTGTGACCTCCTTGTATAATCTGAGTTGGGAATCATTGAGATAAAAAATCAGTAAAATTGAACTGAGTGGTTTTAGAAAAGTAATTTTTATTTTTCAATCTTGTCAATAATTTATTATAATTTTTTTAATTATCCACAGTGTTAAGCCTCTATTTTAATTTTTTTTTTTATTGTGTTGATTTAGACCAATCTAGACCGCCAATCTTACATGGATCTAAAAGGGTAGACGATCTACCCCTTGGATTCGGGTTGAAACATTGCTTCCACGAAGGCCCAAGAGTGGCTTGAGGTTAGTGGCATCCACCACCAGTGTGACATTTTTGTAGTTAAGATGAAGAGAGATTTGCTAAGATTCATTTCCAGCTGAAGCCTATAAAGAGAGAAAAATAGTGTGGGATTAAGGGAGTTATACCAATTAATAAAGTTATAATCCTAGTTTACAAGACTCTATTTAAGATAATAAGTTTTTAAAGTTTTTAGTTGTTCATAAAACTTTTGAACAGGTGTGTTTTTTCCAAGGGTTTGGTTTACATGAGGTTGCAACTTTAAACAATTGAATTATGGTGCGCCACCTAATTTTATTATAAGATATAATTTTGCTGTAAAAAATTATTGAGATGGCATGAGAATCTATTTTTATCTTTAATTATAAAAGTTTAGACTAAAAATATGACTCAAATCAAATAGATCTATAAGTACATGAAAATCTTGAACAATGATACTTCAGACAATGTGTTTCAAGATGCATGATTTTGGGACTTAAAATCCCTTTATATATATATATATATATATTTAATTAGAGGGTTTTACAACTTCAAAACAACCTTTTACTATAGACTTTATAAGTGCACTTTAATTCTACATTTTGTGGTGTCAAACCTTTTTTTTTTTTTGAAAATATTTTCAAAAAGCATAGGCATTGTTGTGTGTGGAAGCTCTAAATCGGATTGGTTGATTTTTTACAAATAAAGTATGAGAAAAATAGAATTAGCAACAAACAAGCACTAAGTAAGAAAAATAAAGCAGGAACAAATAGCACAAAAAAAAGAAAAAAAAAATCGTAATTTACATAGTTTGTCACTACTACTACATCCACAGACGAAGACGGACGATATTTTTCCACTAAATCAAATAAAAAAAATTACAATGCACTTACAAGAATAAAAATTACATGATACTTACTTAGAGAACTAGAGATATAAAACTCAATCTCCTTCTTCTCTCTACAATTTGTCTTTTTACAAAATAATCCAAAATTTTAAATAAAAAAAAGATAAAAAGTGGTACTCGAGGCCCTCCCATCTTTTCCATACATAACTTTATCTTTTATCTAAAGTGGACTCTCATGTCTATTCTAACACAACTCGACCTAACTCAAAGGTCCTACATAATAAGAATTAACTCAAAGATCCTACATAATACGAATTAACTAAAAATAGGAAACCAAAATCAAAAGGAAAACTAATCCCTATAAATGTGGGATTCAAGAACTGAATGAATATGAATTTTAATCCCAATAAATTTATTGCCATTAAGTAGGGTGGCAATGGGTTGGGTTTGGCTGGATCAGGACTCAGAACCGAATGTATTCAGGTTCAGGTTTTAGACCCAGACCCAACCTGTCGAGTCCAAAACTTAAACCCCATACCCATACTCATTGGGTCTTGGGTCTATCCCATCGGGTCCCGGGTCTGGTCGGTTCCATTGCCACCCTCACTATGAGCTTCTTTTTTTGTATCCTACAATGGTGAATAACAAATAATTGATTTTTCAGAGGTGGGCAATTAGAGAGAGACATCCGCGATCCAGAGAGAGCTATATCTCCAAGAAATTGAGAGAGGGAGGACGGCGATGGGGTTTAGCTGTTTGGGGAACTAAGGGAAGGCAAAAAGTATTGAAAGGATTTTAGGGTTGAGGCTTTGGCCTTTGAGTAAACTAAAATTTGGGGTCTAGATACCTGTTGGGTCGGGTATAGCAGGGACCTGTACCCAGACTCGGGACTATCCGGGTATCTTTTATTGGACCCAAACCCTACCCGCGGGTCCAAAACGAGTGTCGGATATACCCGGCGGGTATGGGCCGGGTTTGGGTCCATTGCCACCCTTACCATTAAGCGATTTGCTAGCTATAGTTGTAATAGCTTTAATGAACCTAATGCAAAG